CTATCAGATAGTTTCGAATCCTGTTGAGGGTGCTGACGAGACAAGTGACATCGAAACCGCAGTTCGTCCTAGATACGATAGTCTTTTTGGGCGGCAAGGTTAAGAAAAAATGCAATAGCATCGTAATTCCTACTTTTATTATTGCAGAAAGGCTCAACTATTAATATTTAAGAAGTGGGTTGACCTCGTTTTCGCATCTTGGTCTTGTTGTCAGGGCGACTTTGTTGAACGTACTTTGTCCGAAGTCATCTGCCATATTAGGTATCATAATTCCCAACATAAGACCGTGGACGTCTGAGAATGTTCCATGTCCACGGTCTGATGCTGGGAATTAAGATACCTACTATGGCAGATGACTTTGGACAAGGTGCGTTCAACTAAGTTGCCCTGACAACAAGACCAAGCTGCGAAAACGAGTCAACCCACTTTTGTAAATCGAAAGTATACTTCGATCATACCGAGGTCCACACCATCTTGGTCTTCATATTTTCCTATATTTATATTTGAGTCACTTTAAGCCGCCTAGAGTGATTAATTTCTTATTCAAGACTAACTTATAGTATCGAAAACTAGTCATATCGAAAATAGGACTCATTCATTTTAAATGAGGCATCATTTAAAATGACTAATTGTCTTTGGGCTTCTTTCAAGGCTCTGTATCTGACTTCAGCCCGAATGGACATTTGTAATGTGTAACGTGAACTTTTGCAATTGGGAGTTGCCTTCATTGTAGTCTTTAGGTTGATAAAAAATGATGTTAATCCATCTGGGTTAAGCCTCAATTTATTCATATTACATTATACAGGTTTATAGCATTAACCAACTTTCAGAGGGGAAAATGAAAGAGGCTGTACAGCTCGACTGAGTAGCCTTATCCCTTTACGCTGGGTTAATTGGCCTGCCAGGATGATAGAGCTTATTATTGACTGTTTTATCGGGTATTTTAACTTCCATCAAATGCCTGGGAGAGGATAACTAAGGCGAAATAGGGGGCTAAGGATGATGGAAGTAGGCGATCATCTTGAGTCTGATTAATCCGAATCAACTGGTCATGTCAAATCTGCCAAATCCTTTTCGCTTTTATTATGCACAAGAATTTATTGTTTTCATTTTTCCAAAATATTCCTCATAATTTGAATTCAGCCAAATCCGACTATGTTTTAACTCTAGTCTTCGTGGCTGTTTTTTGCTTTATTTTCCCTATTTAAACATACACATAGGCATACATGCAGACACGAACAGATAAACACACAGATACATTTAAACAGGCACACCTAAAAATATACACTCTAACTACACACATTCTCTCTGCCCTCCTATAAAGACAGATTTGCACTGGGCCATGGATTAGAGTCTGATCTTTATTTTACGACTTAATCCTTCCTATCCATGAATAGTATCAAACTAATCAAAAAGTAAGCCTTGAGCCAATTTCACCTGCCTTCTCCCACCATCCCACGTGGCTTGTTCAAATGTTACCGCCACCAATCAGAGGTAAACAACTATCCCATTGGTAGTCCCATCAAATGCTGCTACTGCTGCTGCCCCAACTAGCATAAACGAGGTGGGGCCTAGAGGTCTGGAAACTTAATTAGAATTCGGTGGTTGCGTTCAGTCGCCCCTGAGCAAGTGACAATAACCCAAAGTTATTCGACCTTTTCATCTCTTTTCGCTAGTTCTGGAAGCTAGACGTTCTTCACAAAGCTTGCATTATGGATATATCCTGTTGCCATCCAGTTGTGGCTCTAGTTGTTGCCATAAGTTGCCTGTTTTCTGTATCCGGTAAAGGCAATCTTTTCACAGGTGACCGTCGCTTGCCTGACTGTTCTGGAGCGTCAGGGCTCCCGTCAAGCCAGACGGTCGCCCTGGAAGACGGTAAGGTTATCCAAGGGGTTCGTCGCTGCTTCGAAACACCCCTTCTGGTCCCTGTTCACGTCTATTCGGGCATTAGGTATGCATCACTAGGCGACACTGGCCTGCTTGGAAGCGGCCTTCGTCGTGTGGCACAGCACCGCTTCAGACAGGCTGTGGCTGAGTTCTTGTATCACGACGAGACTGGTCTTCTGAATAAAACGCTGCCTGGACCCGTCTGTCCACAACCGGAGTCCAGAAGTTCGAGTACTGTAGACGGACTGTCAGGAGCAACTGGGAGGCAACGGTCCGTCAGTCCACAGGAAGAGAACTGCTTGACGTTAAATATATTCGTGCCGGAAAGGAGTAAGCCTCTGATGAATAGAGATATTTAATTGTCCATTTTCTCCATCAAATCATTAAAGTGTTGCACACTTTGCCAGCCCACAGAAGAGAGACCCATCCAACAAAAGCATTTTGTGTGTCAGTTTCAAATTGTTAGTGTTAAGTTGATGAACTGAAAGGGAGGTACGAGTTTATGATAGGAACTTAGTCGCCATAGGAGTCGCTACTGATAGAAATGGCCTGAATACGTTTTCGCAACTTGGTCGTGTTGTCAGGGTGAGATAGATGGATGCAACTTGATTGCAAGGTGCTCCCAGTATTTGACCGTGGACTTGGTACATTTCCAGATGTTCCGCCGGCATCGTAGCTACCGTCATCAGTGAGTCTTGCAAACGAAGTCAATTCCATGACCAACTTTCTGCCAAAACGATTGTCTTCTGTTCTTGCCCATCTATCTCATTCTCGCCTTATCACAACTTCTGACTTGTTTAGATTATCCTCCCAGAGAGTTATGCCCATTTGTGGAGAGTTTAATGCAAGATCATTACAACTGCTGTTAGCAAGGCAAGCAAAAAAAGACTCCTGGATCAAGTTTCGGAAATTAAACGAAAACCTTGTCAGTGAGTGTAGCCTTCTCGAAAAACACAAGTAAAACTGTAGGAACCTGGCAGCCACAGAGTAAGGGGGTCGGATAATCATAACCGTCACAGAACTACGGCATTATGGCCAACGTGACTAGAAATCCACTCGAGATGCAGCTTGAGACCAAATTTAAACGTGCATAGTTTACGCAAGGTAGATTGATTAAATCAGGCAGATGAACTGTAGATACAATAGCTGATAGCTGCAAATACGTAGATTAACTGAGTTCCGATGAATCTTCAGAGATAATATTGTTGGGGAGACCTTGTTTCTTATAAAAGTGCTTGAAGAAAAGATTCCTGGGTTGATGGCACCAGAAGACGACAGCTGTTTGGCTTTATTACGACGTTCAAGTTAACGTAGTCTACGAGACATCCTGCCTCGTTTAGAGCGAAAGCAGACTCAGCTTTCGTCCATCATATGACGGACATTATCGGAGCTGGAACTCATTCTTGTAAAAGCCTCAAGTTAGCACTAAGTCAGGAAGAATATCCGGCTCTATCTTAAGTTGATGAGCAAAAGTAAATTAAAAGCCTAGATTGATATAGAATAGTTTGGCTAAGTATATTTTATATTGGTAATTCTACTTTTGTTCGAGTGTGTGTGTGTATGTGTTTGTGTGTATGTATGTATGTATTAACGTCTATACGCTATAGCAGTCTTAAATCAGAGTTAGCAAAAAAGGCTAATGTCAGGTTCTGGTCATCAAGGGTTAATTACCCAAGAAATAGCCCTGAACTAGAAACAAGTATGCTTGAGATTATGAGATGCATGCCTGTAAGCATGCAAGTCAAGTTACGAAACCACTTGTCTTAACCTCTCAGTCTAGGATCATTAACATATGTATTCACCCTATTTCGTTTAAGGTGAAGAAGGTCTGGTAGTCGAATTTTCCCACAATGATATTAGTAGAGTTGACGTTTCCATTGAAGTTCACATTGCCTTGCTTTCCCAAAAGGGGTTCTCATCCAGTTGCAGTCCACCCTGGATGAGAACAACTTTTGGGAAAGCAAGGCAATGTGAACTTCAATGGAAACGTCAACTCTACTCATATCATTGTGGGAAAATTCTACTACCACTTCTTCATCACCTTAAACGAAATAGGGTGAATACATATCCTGTTACTGATTTACGGGTAGTCTCGAAACTCTACTCAGCTACGAAAAATAGGATCATTCACGTTTAACCACCCGAGGAAAGGAAGGACTAGGGCTGCGTAATCTGGCATGTCTGGTTTGGTTGATGAGCTTAATCTAACATGTTGGATGAGCATGAGTGAAATTAAAACCATCACTGAGCAGACCAATTCAGCCGCATTCTTTTAGATGGTGGCTCAACAGCTTCTCTCTCTTATCTATCAATCAAGCATAATTAGTTCCCAACCACTTCTCTCTTTTTCATCATTAGAGTTGAGGGTAAGTTATGAAGAGATGTTTATATGAAGCCAAAGTATGCTGGCTCTTTTGTGAATTTTCTTTCAAACCATAGTTGCAAAACTAATTTTGGACTTTTGAAGTCGACGATGATGAGAAGTATGGGACTAGCGGATTGCATCAATTTGACTAAAGAGCTGGAATGACTGAAAGACTTATTCCTGGAAAATAATTATCTTTGGGTCTAATTGAGAATAAAATATCCTTACTGTGGAATATATGTTGAGACAGAGACAATATAGTCAAAGACACACAAGCGGAGATCTTTTATAATGTCGTGATTTCACCGTCATGTCTTTTTTCTAAGAAGATAGGGGAACTAGTGTGAAAGGAGGGATTTAAAATGTTTGAAGTAACCCTGGCACTTTCTTCAGTTATGCTATCGTTACGAGAGAAATATGACCCAACATCGAGGTCTGGCTAGTATAAGATTGTTTGATGCTGTGATCGACCTTATATTGGTGAGCTATGCCGGCCTAGTTGACACAACAATTCTTGTAAAGGGAGCTGGATCCAACGGTCAGAAGTGGCCAAGCACATGGTAGAGAGTGGATATGAGAAAAAGTCTCAAACGAGTACAATTGCTTATTATGGTACGTCTGGTGTTTAAAGAAAGATAAGATTGGCAATTGAATTTAATAAATTGGGAAGTACTTTGAGTGAGGAACTAGTTGTGCTTGATTGATGGATTGAAGGAGGACGAGGGTATTGAATCATTACATAAAAGAAAACCCAGCTTGGCTGCTCAGCGATGGTTCTAGCTTCGCTCATATTCGTCGAACATGCTAGATTAAGACGTACCAGATTACGTATCCCTAGTTATGCCTTTCTTTGAGTGGTTAAATATCATTGACCCTAGATTGATAGATTAGAGCAGGTGGTTTCGTAACTTGACTTACACACATACAAACTTACATCTCATTATCTCAACCTTAGTTGATACAGTC